GATATCTTATTGCTAGGCCAGCTGTATATTCCGGTGCACGAAGGCAGGCAAAACCAAATGAATGTGCTCCAAAGTCTTAAAACATTAAAATCTACAGCCTAGTGTTACGGTGTAGGACTCATCGCAGCACAAGTTGCACGCAGCAGGCAAGGTCGAGAATCCCCGTACCCGAGCGTACTCTTCCTTGGAGACGCGATTTTGGCTATCCTTTGCAAAGTAAGACCATGTATCCTCCAAAGCCGCCACCACTTCTTGGTGCGTCTTGAGCGCTTGACGTTCCGCTTGCTTTTCTGGCGTTTCGAATGACGCATCTCCTAAGCAAGTGAACGGCAAAGGGCGACAACGCTGGAAGATGATAACGAGGTGGCCGCAACAGCAGCTGAAACTTGAACAGAAAGCCTAACCTGGAGAGCTTAGCTCTTTATTTACGAGCAGTAGGTATTTTACAGGAATCCATAAACGCGTATTCATTCTCATCCTTACCTTGGAGGTAATATGGAGTCTCACAAGGTACTTTTTCCCATTCAAACAGGTCTTCCGATCGAGGTTGCGGCATTTCTAGCTCTTCCACCGCGCGAAGCTCAACTGCTTCTGCTCGGCCTGGTCTGTCCGCATCTAAGGCGGATAACCCTTCGAGAGGAGGAACGACAGGTGAGGGTTTGCCATGATGGTCTTCTGTGATAGAGGAACTACTGCCCCCTCTGCTCGGCAGTTCGCCACTATTCACAGCCGCTGCGGGGGGGCTTTCGCCTTGGAAGGGTTCGTCAGTTTCAGGCTGGCTCTGATCTTCATGGGGATCCGCGAGTTCACTCGCCCCCGAAGTGTTGGGCGAGTTCTCACTCATTACGGCCTTCTAAGAGATAGAGGCCAAGCCTAAGTTACCAAGACCCAGTGGGAAGATTATTACCGCAATTGCGGTACAAAAAGAACCAGCCTGGCCTCCAAGGACGCAGCCTGTTCTCCGTATCGTTCCGGGCCGCAACGGCAATAGTGGGACGCACCAGCAATCACGTGCAGTCCTGCTATAGACACAGCTTCGTAGCTGGTATAGGCCTTCTGTCTCCACCAGGCATTTGCGATCTACAAGGGCCGGTATCGATATGTAGCTCTCCCTCGTCCCCTCACTATTCACGGACGACTCCGCTGTGCGCCAGCATTGGCATGTATTCGTCGGGACGGGATCCCTCCTCACTGATGAGAGCTGAGGAGAAAGATTTCGTTCGTTGGTATTCCCTATTTATATGAAATTATAATGGTAGCGCCTCCTATTGCCTCAGCTACCAGGCTAGGCAGATGGACAGGGCCTAGGCGCATGCAGCGGCGGACTGGATACGCTTCCTTATACCTGGCCATCTACTATGCTAGGACAAAGT